CCCCTGCATTTACCCCAGCAATATTATAGCCCCAAAATAAAGATCGTAACCTAAGAGTTGGCTGCATTGAAATTTAGTTATGTTATGCTGGCCTAAATATAAAACCAGTTCTAGCCTGTGCCTTCTTTTGTTATGCTTGCGCACGGCTGGTTATTCACAATTTTTTACACGGTACTACCATTAAAAAAAACAAAAAACGGACATTTCAGTGCATCCTACGATCGTCACGCTTACTTTACGGTACGGAGCCGCACCCTATCTATTTATTTAGTATCGACCGACCTCCCCCTACATTCACAGGTACCTACGTGCACGCACGGGCTGCGTACATAGAGATCCTGCGGTTGAGCTTGCATTGAAGGGTGCCTCACGATATGCGATTGAAAAAGAGAGCTTGAAAAGAGTGGTGGGAGCACTTATTGTTGTAACGTTTTGAATAAAATTTAGTACATATTTTTTTTTTTAGCGTGGCGATAATATTTATAGCGTGGTGCAATCTTTGCTTATTTTGCCTAAGCGTGGCGGTCATTTTGTTGTTTTTTTTTGTCGCCCAAGCGTGGCAGTCCTGCGACGCTTAAGCATAGCTGGCGAGACCCCTGAGCCTTCATCCTGCAAATCCCTGGACCCGCTGCTGTACTCTCAGAGTAGACCTACGATGGTTTATTAATAATTTGATTTTATCTGATGTTATAATCTGATTTTAAGACATGGTTTGTTAACAACTACTGCATGTATACAGAAAAAGACCGTTATAATATAAACCCATTTAGTCTAAACCTAAAACCAAACAAACGAATAGTGACCAAGAATTTAATCAGAAAGAAAAAGTAAGAAAAAAAAAAACACTATATGCAGTATTTCTCTTAGTTGTATTTGTCAAAAAACTAGACATGTTTACTATTGTTTCTTGTACAGTAGGCCTATGTGGAAATAAATTGAAAATTTACTTACCAACTAGGCATATATCTCAACAAGTCGCTATAAGCCTACGTGTCAAAGATTAGCGCCAATACATATATATATATATATATATTTTTTATTTCCGCAAGACATCGGATCGTTTATTGATATGTAAATAACGACAAAGTTCATTACATAAACACAATAGATAAAAAATGAAAAGAAGAGGAAAAGAAGTTTTGTATCGCTTGCATTGTTATATCAAAAGTACGGTATGTTATTGTAGCGTTACCACAAAAATGGCACCCATTTTTTATTCTGGGCGTAAGTAGCCTTGATATTATACGAGTACCGGTATTAACTTACAAACTTATGAATACAGTAACTTCCATTATGCTGTGGTGTCGTCAGGATTTGCCCGACAGGGATCTGATGGCACCCAGTGGTGGCGCCAGCGTGGGCGGGTGGGGAGGCGTGGGGTGAGTGGGAACTTTCACCAGTCAGACAGGCCTGGACCCCTGTCGTCCGACGCACAACTAGGTCGTCAGCATGGGCGCAGATCCTGGGGGACCATGGGAGACGGGGGACACGTCTCCCACATATTTTTGAGTTTTGAGGGGGTGGTCCCCCACGTTTCGACTGCAATGTAATTTTATAAGTAAAGATGATGCCTGGAGTTATTGAAATGAACTGCATAAATGGACCAGGTTCCAACGAAAAAGCGCTGTACTGCCTGAGGGCAGCTGTACATCTTATATTATTATAGCAAGATACCGGTATCACTAAGATCTGAATTAGGGCCTCGACTCGAGTGCGCGTGCTTTTGTTATAATTTGAGAAGTATGGGAAAAAATGTAAGGTTTTCGGTACACGAATTAGGTAAGTAAATATATCAAAGACAATTATGTATTATTTTTTATGGTACAATACAGAATAATTAGATGTCTATGATATCC